ACTTCACTTTTCATGATTATTCTGTGGCACACAGTGTACATTAGAGCTAGTGGGCCAGTCAGGGTTCAGGACAGCAGACTCAGCAGGACAGTATGCTGAAATTTATGGCAAAGTATTGGCTTATGGAATTGTGGGGCTGGCTGAGTAAGTCCAAAATGAGTAGGGCTGTCAGGAAGGGAAGGGCATAGGCAGGCTGGGAACGAGGTAAGGCTGTGATTCACAGGCAGTTAAGAAAGGAGAGGATGGTACTCCATGAGTGCAGGCAGAAACTGTTATCCAGGGTGGAATTTCCCCCTTTCTTAGGAAGCCTCAGCCCTGCCTTTAAGACCTTACAACTGATTAAGCCTCACTCACTGAGACGTACACGATTATCTTCTTTTCTTAAAATCCATTGATTAGGGATTTTAATTACATCTGCAAAATCCCTTCAGAGCAAAGCCTAGGTTAGTGTTTGATTGAATGACTGGGGACTCTAGCCTTGTGAAGTTAATGCATCAAGTAACAAGTCATCATGGCAAAGTTAAAGACCTTCTAATCCTAGACAAGTTCAGTAAATAGTTAATGATTTCTATGTGTACTCTAATCCATTTCATACTCACATCACGTGAAAACATTACGATTAACCCAGCAGATATTGTTACTCTGAATGGTGAGGGGAATTGATTATCACTATCTATCAAAAGGTGTTAGAAGGTTAAGCTTTATGGCCTCTCCTACAAAACCCCTTGTGAGGAGTTGCTGGGAGTTTTAGAGTGTTCTAGTGAAGAGCAGTAGCCAGGTTGCTAGCAGGAATAATTTCTGGCTAAGCATTTCAGGTACCTTTCTTAAAAGAGATCTCAGAAGAAAACAGCCTGAGTCTACAAAGCTTCAGTAATTTGTTGAGATTTGTTTTCTCATTCTAAAAATATAGCCATTTTTACGAGTAATTTTGTATTTGTAATTATACATATACTACATTTATATAATATTATATATATTATATATACATATATATGTTTTTAAAGAGAACTCCCCAAATGGTAAGTTTCCAGCCCAGGAAACAGGGATCCAGCCCTGCATATGAATTTTTTTAATCATCTGTCTTCTAACTAAAACAATGAATTATCCTAGTAAGATTGCCTCTCAAGATCTATGAGTGCCTACCAGTTAGTTATTGTTTTAATTGTCCTGAAACCCAATCAATTATGATGAAAACTCCTCATCTAGTAGAGAGACACATCTCAGTAAAACAGTTTATTTCACAAGTAACATCCTGGCTTTCACAGTGGATCTCAGGAGAGCTCAAAGGCATTCAGGAAGCCTTGTGCTTCTGGAGCACTCATCTGCAGTCATAGTCACGGGGACAAGGGTCAGCGGCTAATGTGCAGAAATCCATGTTAGAGTGTACTGCTGGTTTAGGCAAATGCGAAGTGTTTTCATTTGTAGCTTTACTTATGAGGCAGTTCCAGATTTGTTCATTTTTGTCTTACTACCAAAGACCAGAGTATATCCACACTGGGCACATATTAGAAAGAATGAAAAATTATGCAGAGAGAAGTCTCCCATCCGTGACTCTGATCTGTCCAGTTCCCACTATCATCTATTTCTGGCAACCACTAATAGGAGTTTCTGTTTATCATTTTAAGGTTTCTCTGTTTTATTATGATTTTAGATTTGACTCCCGTTTTCTTTTGGTTTTGATATGCCTGGTATACTTTTCCAGTCCTTTTATATCAAATTTTCAGAATCACTTTATTTTAGATGTGTGTTGCTTGTGATCCAAGTAAAAAATCCTTTTTTAAATCATGTAGATGTATTGATATGTTAGACATTTTGTTTTTGTATTTCTCATGCTCTTTTATGCTATTGTTGTTTATAATTTTTTAATGTTTTCACAGAATCTGTAGTTTTTTTCTTTGCTTTTATTTTGGGGAGTTGTTAGCTTTTTGCTTTAGTGGTACCTGTAAACTCCTAGGTTCATGTAATTCTTCCAGTTCATATTATTCATTCCTTTTCTAGGACAGTAGCTATTAGTTCCACGCTGACTGATGATAAATGAGCATCTATCTTCATTCTGCTCCTCCTTTGACACCACACAATTTTATTCAATAATATGGCCTCTCTTGTGCTTTTTATTTTTTTATTTACTTTTATTTTGTTTAATTTACTCATACTGCTATTACTTGATTTGTCATTTTAAGTCCTTTGTCTCTTAACTGTTACAGATTTGTCATGAATGAAGCTTCCTCTCCCTTCCTTTCCCAATTCTGCTAATTGTATCATTTCTACATTGTCAGACATATGGCATTTACCTTCTATTTCGTCATCCTAAATTTCACATTGTGTTATTACTCTCACTTCGACATTTAAGTATATTCAGTGCTCACCACCAAATCTTCTCCTCAATTTTCCTCAGTCATTTCTCAGTTTATTTTGTGGCAATTTTATCATAAAGAACTCTTAGGAACAACAGTCCCTGAATTCTCTATGTATTGAAACTATTTGTAACTTTTAGATTTGAGGTAGAGCCTGGATGTTTGTGGCATCTGTACCTCACACATTCTTTTCTTGATGATCGTGGTGTTGCTCCACTGTCGTCTGGTATTGATCATTGCTGTGAAGACATCTAATGCAAAATATGCATTTCTCTCCTTTTAAGTGACTTGATAATGATTCTCTTTATCTTTAAAGTCTAATAACCTTGTTAAGGTGTGCTCTGGTTTAGACTATTCTGAGTCTATAATTCCTGGTACACAGTATGTCCTGTACATAGCAGATTGTCTTTTATTTGAGGAAAGCTTGTCTTTAAATATTTGTTCTAAAGAGTCACCCTCTTTTTGTGTTCATTGGATCTGTTGTTTTCACTGTCTATCATTTTCCTCCCTAATTTTGTTCTCTTTTAATTTTCATCTTACTATGTTTGTCTTTCTCATTTGAATACTCTTTATTTCCCATTGTGTCACCACGCAGTCCATTCTCACTTGTGATATTTCTTCCTGAGTTCGGCCAGCTCCCATTTCATCACTTCCTGTTGTGTCTTTCTCTTCCCTGAGTTCTTTCCCTTCTGCTCTGTGACCTTCCTTGACAGAAGCAAGTGCTTTTTAAAGTTTTATGATTTAATTTGTGGCCAGATGCTTAGTAACAATATTTATTTGTCCAATGGCAACATTTTTTCTGGTGGTGATCCACACATTGATTGGTATTGCTGCTTTTAGAACGTGTTTTGTTTTGTTTTTAATTTTGCTTATAATCCCTTTGCGCTATGCCTGTTCTTAAAAAGAATGTCCTCTTTGAATTAATTAGCTGTAATGAGTTGGATTTTCTCAGGCTTGAAATTTGTAGTAGGACCCTGGGTGAGAGTTTGTGGTGTGGGATCAGAGTGGCTTTCAGTTTTTACAACCTGCAGGGCCAGAAGGCTTTTCATTAAAAAAAGACTCCTGTGTGTGATTCTTTATGTAGCCCTGCCTCATTTGTTTCTCTGAACCAAAGGAAGTTGGGAAAGCTTTTGCCTCCAGCCTTGTGCACCTCGGTTTGCACCCATAGATATAAATGAAAGACAAGCATCTGAGCGGCAGGGTGAGCCCCTCTGTTGGGGTGTTTTTGCGCGTTCTGAGCTGCTGCTGGCTTTCCCCTCTCCACACTCACCACTTTATCTTGTGCAGCTTCTGCTAGTCTCAGCCCTTTGGCTGCTCTCCTTCATATTTTGTAGGTTGTAGGTTACATTTATCTTTGGGTTTTGCTGAACGTGGAGTTTGTTTGCCGAGCTATTTTCCCTCACTTTCCTGATTGTTTTTCCGTAATATCCAAGAGAAAAATGGGAAAGGTATTGACTTATGCAGTCTTGTTTACAGTCATATACAATATAGAAGAGGAACATTTTGTTTCTTGTTTTTTTCAATCCAAATAAATTAAGGTGCCACTCTACCATGAAGTTGTTCAATGTTTGCCATTTCTTTTATTTCACAGTCCTTGGCTTGACACCTACTGTGCTCCTCAGTCCAGCTCCAGCCTCATTCTACTTGATTCTTTTTCATGTGTTTTACACTCCTGTTAGATTTTGCAGATTTATTTAGTTACCTGGATAGTAGGTCTTGTTTCGCCATACCTTTATGTACTTGTTCCCTCTGGCTGACATTTCCTTCCCCCTTTGCCATCCCTTTCTCACCTCCATGGTCCTTATTATCGATTAAAATTCTATTTGGACTTCAAGATCAACTTCAAATAGCAGCTAATTCTCAAAACTTTTCCTCTGGCTTCTGCATATTGCTCTAATCTCTTCATCTGTTGACCACAGCTTACACTGCGCATCTTCTCTCAGACTGCAACTTCCTGCATGTGCTATTTTAGTTATTTGGCTACTTTCTACCAACCTGTGGCAGAGTCACCACTGTGCCTCATTTATGCCTGAGCACAGGACATTGTGCATAATGTACATTCAGTAACATTTGTTGAGATGATAAAATTAAGCAAAAGGCCAAAATTATTTTCTTGAATGCATGGCACAGTTTCTCCTGTTTCTCATGGGTGTATAACAGAGCTACTCATGGGGATAATCTGGCTCTCTTTTCCCTGAAGCCACAGGCCCCTGCAGACTGAGGTACTTTGCCAGGATGTGATTGCAGATGCACATGTTTAGTCACACAGGCAGGCAGACTGTGTTTTGATTGTTTTGACACAGAATAATTTGTTCTTCGCTTTTTATGAGTCTTTGATAGCTCTTCAAGTCGATTAAAAGGCAAAAATAGAAAGCATAAGCTTTGCTTAGGTTCTACTATTAAATGGTAGATCTCTATCATAATATAAATACATTAATAGAACAAACTCTGCTAAAATTTAACATACACTTTTAAACTGGAGTAGAAGGACTAGCTTATGAGAAAATTTCCCCAGTTACACTCTTAGTTTAGGCACATGTAAATTTTTTGATGAACTGAAACTTGAAAAATTTCTCCCCACTATTCCATTTAATTAGGTTTTTTACAAAGTATAATTTACATGTAATTTTCTTCATCATTTTATAGCTTTGAAAGCCACATTTGATGAGAAAAACTTGTTCCCCAAGGAACTTCTGGATCGTGAACGAAAAGCCAAGCAATTATGCCAAGAAACAAGTAGTGAAGTGAAGATAAAAAGGAATAAGAAGCTATTATAATTGAAAGAAAAATAAATATTTCATTGTCACATAAAATATGATTATGAAATGCAGAAAATGAATCAAGAATTCTGTACCTTTTACTTTCTATTTGAACTTCAGGAAGTTTCATTTTTAGATAATGGTTTAGTGCTGCTGTTATCCATCACCTTTGACTTTCTCTGTATTTAAAAAAAAAAGAAAGAAAGAACTAAAGAGGGGGAAATTACAGTCAGTATCATCTATCCTCAAGTATTTTGAAATAAAAAAATATCCAATTCCAGGACAAAGTATTCGAACCAGTTATTCCTCTGGTTTTGTCTATAGACATTTTCAGTCAATTGTCATTATAAAACCTGCTTTAAAATTAACTAAAAACTACTGACACAGTAAATATCTATAAACTTGACTAGGAAAACCATCCCCACTTATTTACACTTTCTAGGTTTTTAAAAAAATGATTCTGATAATGTAGTTAGACTGTTACTAGCAGCTATTCCTATTAATTTTTACTGACATATCCATTCTTCTATGTACTTACTGAGAAATTACTGTATATGTTCTACTTCTATACTTTATTATACTGTACTCTAAAATTGAGTGGCATAGCTTGGCCAAAGAGGTAAATAGCATTGAAAAAAAATCAAAGGGACTGGGAGCTATATAAAGGACTCAGTCTACATGGAACATGGAAGGTCAAGTAAGAAATGTGTGGTTCTGAAACATAATGCCTCACTTTTTTGATCCATTTTCTTTCTAAATATCATCACCTGCCAGGTAACCAATATTATGCTGTTGTACTTATTGTGTCCTTTAAGAATAATTAATAAATTCAGTCATATAACTTTGGTTATATACTATACATTTGTATTTCAAAGAGTCCTTTCGAAAAAATATTTGTATTTTAAGAAGTTTGCAGTAACACACATAAGTACAGGAAATAATTAACAATAAATTGAGGCCTATTCTGTCTAGTAACTGCAAATTCATGTTTAAATCCCACAATAATCATATAAGATTATTTTTTATAAAGCTAAAATCTGAGATTTGGGTCCATTAGGAGTGTGCCCAATTTTCTATGTCAGAGTTGGGGTGGGAGCCTGGGTCTGTTTTATTTTTAAAACACCATGGGCTTTACCCTTCACAATTCTGTTCACTCACCTCTTATGAGTATAAAGTCAATGGGATGAACTTTAATAAAATTTCCCGCATCAGTGGGGTAAATGTTTTAGTTTGATGGAGAGGGTGGTAGAAAAAAGGTTTTCAAAGACAATTAGTTGCCTATTCCATCTACATTTAAGTGTGTCTCAAGTCAAGCATTGTGGCTCCTACATATATTGCTTTTTTTTCACATTGAATAACAATCATATATGGGAAAGACATAGAAGAAAAATATATTGGAAAGAATCAATGGAAAAATATTGGAGAATGTCATCAGAGTGGTAAAGGCCCTGGAAACCGTGTTTGAGAGCAACAAATGAAGAAATGGGGAGGTCTGGTGTAAAGAAAGAGAATTCTTGGGAGACAACCTCTTCTCAAATATTTCAAAGATACGATGAAGGAAAAGACTAGAAGTGGAACTGATGGCCACAATTTTAAAAAGGAAGACTTTAGAATAGCTTCCTAATTCCTGTTAAAGCATGAAACATCTTCCATTTCCTTTCCACCTTCAGTTCTCATCTTGGTGCTGGGGACCAGCCAGCAGGCCGGCTGTATGGCTGTGAGAGGAAGCAGGAGGCCCCAAGACAAGACATGCTCGCCAGACCCAAGGATATGGGGTGGGGTGGTGGGAGGGGCGTTGGAAGCTGCGAAGGCAGAGGGGGTGAGTGGGAGAGATCATCAGCACGGTTGGGAGATTAGTTACACTGAACAAATCAGTACTGAATAAATAAAAATAAATTAGTATATATACTGAAGGTAATGAGTGCCAGGTATCTGGTTGTTATGGGAGGTACTTACAAAATCTGAAAGGGGAAAACTAGAAAGAACCCTGAGATTTTGGATTGGGATTAGAGATACCATCATGAACTCATGGTTGCAGACAGACAGAAAGACAGATACACAGGTAGGTAGAATGGAATGTTTAGGCAGGATAAAAAATGATGTTTGCAGTTTGCTCTCAAATGATTCAAGAAATACTAAGGGTATACACAAACACAACATAATATATATCTATACACACACACACATATATATATATATATAGGGAGTCAGGAAAGAGAGGTAAGTATATGGATAGAAGACATGGTGAAATGTTAACAGTTGGGGAAACTGAGAAGGAAGGAAAGAGGGAGATGGCAGTTATTTGTATTATACTAGCAACTTTTCTGTAAATTTGAAAGTATTTTAAAGTAAATTATTTTTAAGAAATGAAAAACATTGCCTTGGGATAAGGGATTTTTTCAAATGTTCAAGTACAGGCTGAGTAATTGTCTCAGAAGGCAATTGCAGAGAATTCTCGCACCAGTTGGGAGGTTTGACTGGACAATCCATCATTTCAAACTTAGAGCATATGATTTATGAATCATAGATTGGTGATTGTACAGTGGAGTGTAATTTGAGCCACATTTCCAGAAATTTAAAGGAATGTTATGATGTTAAAGGGATGTGATATGCATACCAAGCACTTTTCAAAGGCTCTTTTCACATCCATCCATCCATTCATCCATCCATTCAATCAACTATTGAAGATACATGCAAAGGACTGTTTTAGACATCAGGTACGCACATATAAATAGAATACGTTTCTCCTGCCATCAGCTTTCTGGAGGAAGGCACATAAAATGCAGTGGCTTATTAAGCAATGGTTAAATAAGCCCACTAGTTTTTCTGGTAAAATCTGGAAATTCTTTTACTAGACATATTTCACTTTTTTTTTTTACCCCTGGAGATGACTTTGAAGAGATGGTCTGAAATAATCTAGTTCCTACAGACAGACCTTTTCTCTGTAGCTTAATGCATGTGCAAGTCTCTATTCTGTGCATTAGCCTGCTCCCATCCTTATTTAATTTCAGGACCTCTTCTGTGAAAGGAATTAAGAGGAGCTGTCTCACAAGTATATTAAATAAGAATGGAGCTTTTAAAAGTATGAAGGTCTCTTTTAGTGTTACTGTTTCTGATAGTTTGGAACACACACACACACACACACACACAGACGTTCAGTTATTTTAGTGACACTTTTCTATCTTAAAGCACCTAACTGTGCTAGGCAGTTAGCAGGGCCTCACCTATCAAATGTTAATAGAACCGAAGACTTTATAAACTGTTTCTGAAATTAACATTTAGGCTCAATTATTTAAGAGCCATTTTTCTACAGTGAAAAGAACTTGTCACATTAAAATAGGCTGTGCCATAATTTTTAATAGGCTACTTTGTTTGTAGTATGCAGAGTTACACTAAATATAATTTAACCTCTTATCTTTTCAGAACATTTTCCTCTTTTCACCTAAAATATGAACAGTGAACTGACAAGAGGAAAAAAAAATGGCTGAAATTAACCCATGCTCAAATGGAAGAATTAACCTTAAAGTCCTTTATTAATGGGAGCATTTGCTTGTATGTTTTTAAAGTTTGAGATTAAATAATGCTTGCTTTAAAAAAGTGTAACATGTGAGGTAGTGAGATCGAAGCTGTAACCCCTTCTATTACTTTTATACATATTCCCGGGTTTCTCTTTCCCAGTGTAAGTAGTGATGGCACACAAATTTATACCAAGACATTCTGGCTCTCACTGATGAACATTTTTGTCTTGGTGTTCTAGCGGCAAAACAGAGTTGTAGAAGGAATAGATTTGTGAAAATATTTAAAAGGTTTGCAGTACTAAATCTTTATTTTATTGACAATTGTGGTACCTTTATTATCTATTAATAAAGCTTAGACCAGGGAGGAGAAATTCATGCCATTGCTTTTTTTACTCTCCAAGAGACAGGAAAATGTACATTCTGCCTAAACTGCCCTAACATAAGGTCCTTACAGAGCAACTTCATTAAGTGATCTTACTGAGATGGAGTGTCTGTTTCTGTCATTGGAAGGACAAGTAATGGCCTATTCCTAGGTAAATCACATCATGACCTGAGTAACATGCAGACATAATACTTGCATAGCTGAGGGTACTTGTGATGGATGTTTGCTGGTGTCACTGCATGAATAGAACTGCATTGATTGAATGATAGTCTAGGACATTCAGACTTAATATTTATGAATTATAGAGTAGTAGAAGAAGAATGATAGTATTCTTGTGTTATGTAACTCTGTTATTTAGAAAAGTATGTCTAACAGTGTTAAGTTAAAAGCTGGAGATAGGTTTGCTTATGTTAGAGTAAATAATATCAGAATATAACCCAAGATTCAGAAAACATTTAGAGATGTCCAGTTGAGCAATTAAGAATTTTAGCAAATTAGGAGATTATGGCCTATTGCTGTCATCAGGCATCTCAGGCCTGTCATTACACTATAGCCCTAGTAGGACATCGAAACAGGTTAACAGGGTCCTTGAACAAGCTTTTTTTAAATGAATTCCTTTTAAGGGTATCTACATTCATTTCATCTTTTTTCATGAATGTATTAAATATAATATTACATTCAGCAATCAATAGTGAATATTTAATTGTAACGATCAAATTTTTAATTTTCTCACAGTCTACAGATAAGTAATACAGTGCATTTAATATCCGACTTCCTTTGAGGGGACTGATTTGTACTAGAAGAATGAGATCAAGACCCATTCAATTATGCATTCATTTTTTATTAATGAACTTTTTGTAGAGATAATCATGTAAAATTTTAAAAGTACATAAAAGTAACACCAATGTTTATTATCAAATTACCCAAGTTTAATAGTATTATCTTGATATAATTTGGTAAGTCAATTATCTTAATCTGGTCTTTTTGTTCAGCATAAAGAATATGTTTCTTCAATATTGACATTTTTTTCCTAAGGATTCAAAAGGGCCTTATATCCACAGGAAATTCCTCTGACTATTGTGTAATTTGATGAAGTGTTGAGAACTCCGTAAATGCAGCAGTAATTTGTCTCTGCATTCTGGACATGATTTAGCTTTATCTTTTTTCTCATAGGCATTCTGAAATATTTATGGTGGTGTATATTGGTAATCTGATGTGGGAGTTCTGTGAGAAACAAAAAGAACTAATTACTAGCAAATTTACAAGCTGTGGCACATACCTCCAAATTCATTTCTACTTATTATAAAAGAAGTGGAATAATGAAGCAACAATATAAAGAGTGATTTTTAAAAATTATGCTATTGTTTTCTCTCTTAATTCTCGCATATTTCATCATTGATCATTAACCTGATCACGTTAGTCTTTTTTGACAAATGTAGTGAACACCTGCTTTGGTTTTAGAGGAATGTATTGAGCAATGTTCAAGATAAACAGAGTTGGCCTTGACCGATCAGGTATTTCATGGACTAGTGTTTCCCAGCAAGCACATTTTAGTTATAACTTTACAGTGAATATTCAGAAACCAATTTTGGGTAAGTACCTTAAAATTTGATATGAAGTATGCATGTAACATTGACTGTGAGTCTTTAATAGAATAGGGAAATGATGTTTTCAATTCACTTTGGCCCAGATATTTAAATTTATCAAATTAACACATTACTTTTATGCTCCCGAAAAGATTCACTATAAATCTGAAGGTCAAATTCTTAATAGGATTATTCATCAAGTTGCTCACCAGTGCTTTGTGCTTTCTGTTGAGATAAGATCCCAAACTCCATGAAGTAAAGTAAATTTTTTAAACTAATTTTTTATATGAGCTTGTAATGCATCAAGTGCCTAGAAATTTTCTGGGAGAAATGGATGCCCCAAAAGCATTAATTTTAATTATTAAGACTGTTAATAATAATGAGAGGATAACTCCAAGATTCTGCTATTAGGGAAATATTACATGCTTCATGATATTGCTTATTATTCTAAAATAAACCGAGTACATAAAGATGTACCTAATGAATTACCAATTGGTGACTAAAGTATTAATTATATTTTGACTATTTAGATATCTACAAACCAGTATTTTTAGTCAGAAATCTTCTGAAATATTGAATCTATTAAAAAATGATACACAGAACTTTATTTTGTATGTAAAACTTGTCTTACTGGTCTTACTGTTGCCACACTGCTATTCACAACCTTATGTGTTAATTTAATCCTTGATACAACATTTGCTTGATAGCGTATGTCTGTATTTGCAGTTTACCAAAACATTATTCTCTAACAGTCATTCGGGATTGCATTTTGAGGGCTTCTTACTCTGCCAATTGTATATCTAAACAAGTGGAGTTAAGTACATATATTAGAAGACAATTTGAGATATCTAGCTAATGATGCCATAGCTTAGTTTTAGAGAATATTTGACTATTCATAATCATTAGGCATAATATTGATTCTTAGTGACTCAACCCATTTGTGGGTCATGGCAACCTTCCTAATGGTTGACAAAACACTCTAGAAATATAATTCTTTATTTTAAGGTTAACAACACATTATTCTAGAGACTTTTCATTTCCCCCAATGAAAGTTTACTTCCTAGTGACCTATTAAGTTAGGAGTTATGAAGCGTAATTAAATGTATTATTTATAAGGTGAAATTAGTGGTACTAAAATCTATGAGGTTTTCAGAATCAGTATTCACCACGTCTGTGATAACATTGTAAAACTCATTCTGTTCAAGATATAATCAGATGGTTGAATTTCCTGCATTATTAGTGGTGAGCACTTCAATAGGATGTCTTGATGCTGTTTTGAGTGGTTTTCAGTTGCAGCTTTTGTAGGTTTGTCAATTCATTGGTCAGATAATTTTTTGATTTTTTAGAAATTGCTTTCTTCTTTTGTTATTATTATACCATTTATATTTGGTTGTAATTTTGTTTCATTACAATTTTTCTGAGTTTTATTTCCCCTTACTCTTTGGGTAAGTGTAAGGTGGATTTTGACTTTCAGACGTGGGATTCCATAAAGTGTGAGAATCTCTATTGTAAAAAGTTAGCTAGATTATTCAGTTTATATGTAATACATTAGCTTTCTAATATTGCAGGTTTAAAAGCACACTAGAGTATGTGCATCTTTTATTCCACTTCTCCCTTTTGATCTATAAACCATTTTACAGCAGTTGAACAGAGGATTCCCTTGACATCAGAGTTATAGGTATCCCATTTAAAACATGGGAAAAGACAGGAAAAAGTATCATATATGTTATGGACTGGTTCCTGAAAGAATATAAAAAATACCTTTAACACAAGGCTTATTTCTCCTAACAGATCATGTTTACTCTGAAAACTAGCATCAGAATCTTTGAGTGGTCATTTATTCTAATGAGATAGAAAGTTATAATAGGTAGGAAAGTTTTGTGTTGAGCTCACTATGGTAACTGATTATTTTGAAAACCAATAAATTTTACATTAAACAATGCAGAGGTCAAAATGGAGAAGATCTTGTTATGGAGTTTCCTACTGACTTCTTCTGAAAGTCAAGCCTTGAGATCCTTGGTTCAAAGAAATACCGAATTTGCAGTGGATCTTTATCAAGCTATTTGTTTATCTCATAAAAACAACATTGTATTTTCCCCTCTTGGGACAACTTTGGTTCTTGGAATGGTACAACTTGGAGCAAAAGGAAAAGCACAATGGCAGGTAAAACAAACTCTAAAATTTCAGGAATCCTCAACAGGTGAGATTCTTGTGTATGATTATTTATACTGGACAGGAGCTGGCCAAATGTATTTTTTAAATATCAATGAGAAGCTCAGGGTTATAGGACTTTAATAAATGAAAAATGTTATAGAAAGTATAAAACTATAATAAAATGTAAAATTGTAAGTCATACTCATTCATTTATAATTGTTTCCTAGTCAAAATGTTAACAAGATAATTTAATAAGAAATTGATTCCATACAGATATATTTAGATTCTATACAGATATATTTAGACAGTTTTGAGATTATGTTGTATGTGCATATGTGTGTGTGCATGTGTGAATACATAAATATTCTTCCACTATCTCTATGTTGTGATAATTTTCTCATATTATGCAACTGTTTCAGAATATAATTTATATTTGTTGAGTTGTACTGCTTCTTGTGGAAATACCATTGCTTACTTAATCCTTCCTTATTAGGTTGTATCCAATACTTATTAAAAAATCATTGCATGCATCTCTCATTTCATGAGCCTCTTAAAATTAGTTTTCTAATTAAAATTTAACCTTTTCACTTAAGTGAAACTAGGAAAAAACATTAACTTACACATTTTAAAATCTTATTCAGTTAATAATTTTAAAACTGAAAAAAAAAAAGGTATTTCGTAACCCATCAGAGGCCCTTTGCGTGTGAATGGTTGTATTGGAATCTCCCAAATGCCTATGTAAGAACCAGGGTAGAAGTTTTTGTTAAAACCCCTTTTGAAGGGGTAGTTGCCTATCTTCCTGGTTATTCTGTGCTATCAATTTCCATAATGATTTTAATTTTAAACTTTTTTATCACTGTCGGATAATACATCCTAAGCGTCTGAGGAAACATCCAAGTTTTTGATTTAGGAAGTTAGTCACTGTAACTAATTTCAGTATGATTGCTTGACACAGAGTGGTTATACTTAGGAATTTGTTTTTCTTCTTTATAAGGTTTATTCACTTCATTTTAGATAAAAGCAGTTGTATGTACAAAACAAGTTGATGAAAGGGAAAGTTGCAAGAGTTTTCCTTTGAGAACAATATAAAATGAAGCCAGTGTTCCAGATTTGGTCTTGACTGTCTATATTAATTTCAGCAAATCCCTCTACACAGTCCCAGAGACATTTGAGTCACATGCTATCTCTTTGAAAAGTAATAGAACATTTATGAAGCTATGCCAAGTTGATCCCACAGTCAACTAGCACAATTTGAGCTTCTGAAATCTAAATTACTTTAAATGAATACATCTTATAAGAGACACACAAAAGTAATGACAACTGTGGATTGTGATGGTAATAATAATCACGGTAATAAAAATGATGACACTAATATATATATTTACATATACAGTTTATTTTTGACTTATTCAATTTATATATTTATATATAATGTAGCAGTTGCTGCTTTATGTGCTTGATATAAGCACCTCATTTACTAGTCACAATTACTCTGTGAAGTGGACCCTGCTACACAGGCGAGGACACTGAGTCAAAGAAAGGTTAAGTAATTTGCCCAGAACTAATTCCAAAAATGGTTCAGCAAAGGGTATAGATCATAAGAGCAATAATGAAAGTTTTCATGCTCTCCTTGTAAGAATATATGTGGACTATTAAACGTTGACATTGTTGCACATATACCAAGCCTGCTTTCTGCTGTGCTTTGTTAGGGGAAGGAGAGGGGGCGCACAGAGGATCACAGCAAGAGGACAGAAAAGCCAGCCAGAATGGAAAGAAATGTGAAAAATAAACTCTGGAAAATAAAAAGAGGGTTAAATTGAGGAATAATGAGAGAGGTGACCCAGAAATAAGGAGGGAAACTGAGTGAAGGAGAGCGAGGAGTTAGAGGAAAGGCCCAGCCAGGGTCTGGGAAGGAAGAGCACAGGGGCAGCAGTGGTTAGAGAACAGGTGTGACAGGTCGAAAGGTAATGCCTGGCAGTCATGTTGGAGTCAAGACAAAAAGACCAATTAGTAATCATGTCCTATTTATTTAAACTTTAGAATTTTAATATTCTGTTCATCATGGATTTCTTTGCACTAATACTGAATTTGGAAAAAATGTACTGCAGTGAAATATTATTTATCTTGATGACTGAGTCTGTTGGCATTTCCTTAAATTCTATACCCAAGATGAATGTCTCATTGACTCATCTTCCTCCTGGCCCTGCTTTCATTTCCCAGTGATTACCAAAAGGTGCTATCCGTTGAATCAGTCCGTATTTTACTTTCCTCCTACTAACCTGATTCATATTAACACCCCGCTTATTCTACAGATGGCCATAACAGAGGCTGCTCCTCTAGGCTCCTAGTGTCCTCAGTTCTTTTTTCCCTCATTGGCAAACATCTTCTCAAAACTACCTTCTCCAGTTGACTGAGCACCTGATAATGCTCCATTTTAATTTGCTTCAAATAGTCCTGCTTGCTAATCAAAGTCTAATTTGAGAGTGTTTCTTTATTCCAAGAGGGTTATAGGAAAAGAACCAGACATGCATTCCTGTCTCTGCTCTGCAACCAAATGAGCCTGTGATTTGGCACCTCTTCAAGTTCCTGTATCTGTATGGATTTTAGACCCCTACAGATTTTGATTAGATGACGTATATGAACATTTTGGCTAAAACAATCTATGATTCTATGACTGCCTTTGTTTTATTCCTTGGATCTCTCTCTTGCACACATGATCAGCCTGCTGGCTCTGAATAGTAGGAGAAGTGAAAATATACTGCATTTTAGAACATTTACTGGAGGTCTGGTGCAATCAACCCAAAAGCCATCTTCACCCTATGATCTTTTCCATGGCTCTGTTTTAGGAAATGAAACAAACTTATTCTCATTGCTCATTAGGAGCTATGGATTTGTTTTCTTTTTGATCTGTGCTAAAAGAGGTTATTAATCTATAAATAAAATTTATAAAGGAGAAAATTTTATTTCCCCTAAAAACTTTGTGAGTTGGTGACATTTTTTCACTGACTTCTGGGTCCAATGATTTATCAAAGGGCAGCTGAATGTCACACAGTTTTAGACCTTAAGTATATGACATAAATCTATTTGCTCTGACAAATGAGTTGGAACTATTTTTTCTCCTCCCCTCCTTTTGTACCCCATCCCTTTAAAGATGATCATAAATTACAAATTTCTGAAAGTTGATTTCAAGTTCTGTAACTTCATTTCTGACCTTAATTAATTCTTTTGGAGAAGGTCTCACACCTTTACTCAGCAAGTCTTCTCTGCGCCTCCAAGTTATTAATATGTCTCTTGGCTTCAAAAGCAAAAAATGATTGTGCTTGAAATCACTGCATAAGCAAGTAAAATAAATTAACTTCCTTCACTTCCTTATGTAATCAATTCCAGGGTTTTAGAGAAATTACTGAAATTCTTCAGATCCAATCATTTGGAAGTAAGTTTTGTATCTAAATTTTTTATGTCTATGTCTATAGCCTCATAAGTGGAGAATCATGAAGTTTGAGATATGATGCAATATACCTTCTAGAGCTACCTGTATGGTTGTGTAAATTGTACGTACACCAAAGCTCTAGGACAAGTAGGCAAGTGAGGACTAAAGTGTAGCCTCCACTCATCTGAACAAGATATGAGTCCATGAGTGCCCAGTGAAGGCACCTGTGCTTTGAATATCACACAAAGATTCCCTGTGGGCTGCTAGTTATCTGGTAAAATGTTTAAACACACACCACACACACACACACACACACACACACACACACTCACTCACTCACACACACACACACCTTAAATCAAATAGACACCTCATAGCAAGTTCTTCTCAGTAATTTTTTTTTCCTCTTCATTCAGTGGGCATCTCCAAATGATGAACCACTTATGTTTTCTTCAATAGAGATTAACTGCATGTAACCAACTTCTAAGTTGTGAAAATGGTATTTTCAATATTTAATTCAAAATATAACAAAGGCCCTGAAAGAAACTTTCCTTTGAAATGCAGTTCCCAAACTTAATGATTGAGTTCCAGGATTAAGCCAGATGAGAATAAAAAATTTGGATGAATAGGAAGTCACTGAGCAAAGACCAGAGCTGAATACTCTCATAGGCATGTATCCCTTCCTGACAACTCTGTGGTCAGAATGATCCAACAATAAATAAATAATAGGCCAACAGTGGCTCTTAGCTGACTCTGACAGACTCATTTAGGTAGTGGTTATAGTTGGAATGGTTAAAGATTGTTATTCTTCATATAGACAGCCAAAGTATATAGATTCATGAACCTGAAGAAATAGGCAATTCGGATTCTTACACATTTCTAGAGATGATTATAGGGGGTTGCCTTGTAAATTTCAAAACCTGGACAGGTGCAGTTGCTCATAAGAGAGCAATTCTTTCTTCAGCTGAAATAAAAGCAATACTGAAAAGGATTCTCATCACTGTCATACTCCCCATCAACCTTCATTAGCATTTCCCTTTCATAAGTATCATATCTTATACAAAGAATGAGACTCTAGAGCTAAACTTCCAACAATGAAGAATGAGCTGAATTTGACTACACAGACGGAGTTTCCTCCAGCCTGTTTAAATGCATATTCTTTTTCTTTGACAAATTTCAAGTTTACATAGACGTTCTTTTTTCCTTTGTAAAAGCTGATTTATCTCCAAAATACATATTTTGCAGAGATAAATGCTTAAAATATTTATACTAACTTAGAAAGGATCATTAGTTATACCTGTGGGTGCAAAAAATGATGATACGAATCAGAGCGCTTAGAAGCAGAGTTGAAAAGCTGTTGTTTTTCTGTTGTTCAGTATGTCAGTATACATTATAATTATTTTTTAGGAGAAGAATTTTCTTTGCTGAAGTCATTTTTCTCTGCCATCTCAGAGAAAAAACAAGATTTTACATTTAATCTTGCCAATGCCCTCTACCTTCAAGAAGGATTCACTGTGAAAGAACAGTATCTCCATGGCAACAAAGAATTTTTTCAGAGCGTCATAAAACTGGTAGATTTTCAGGATGCAAAGGCTTGTGCAGAGACAATAAATACCTGGATAGAAAGCAAAACAGATGGTAAAGTTTCTCATTTTCATAAAAATCATTATTTCCCATTGTACTCATGGTTTTTAATATCCTGAAGTAAAGCAGAGTTGAATATTTTCCTACTAAACTATGGCTCAGAGGGACCAAATCTATTAGGTTTTCCTCTTATTCAAATTAATACTAAATTGTGACACCAAGAGAAATTGAAAAGCATATGTTTTATTTTTTGAGAGACAGCTGTGTGTAACATTCTTAATGGAGGAATTTTAATAATAATTTTTATTTAAGCATAGGTTTTTATAAGCAGCAGGAATAATCTTTAGCCAGGTAAAAATTAGATCTGCTAACTCCAAATGCTTTCTTTCCCACATATACTATAAATAATTAACACATATTGTTGAATGTGTTAATGTTTAATAATAAATGTTGATATTCTTATCACAAACATAAGCATTAAAACTAAATACAAGCTAGCAAAAATTCCAAGGGACTGGAGAGTGACAAGGTAGAAACAACACAAGTTTAAGTCGTCATACAGATACAAGTTCAAATCCTAACAAGTCTAAGCTATGCCCTGTTTAAAATGAGGATACTATTAAAACATTTTAGGATTATTGGAAGGCTTAATAATGTATGTGAAGTGACAAATATGTATCAAGTCCTTGATTAACAGTAGTTATTTCTTTGTTCAGTCACTCTGCTATAGAAAATTGTGATGATTTAAAATGCTACCTTATACTTTATTGGAAGCCTCATATAGGAAGCAAAAGTTGAAAATGTGAGATGGGTGTTGTGAGCAGTGTTCACAGGGAAGTCCTGTTAATAGGCTACAATATGAGAACATCCCTAGACAGCATGTTGGAACCCAATCATGCTTTGGTCATATAACTTTGAAATACTTATTGGACAGAGAAATGGGAGATGGATTGTTGAGAAGAGAAAAACCATACTAGCAGCTCCATTCTTATTCCTTCCCAATGGTCGGTGGCTAGAGCTACAAGAGTACTAAGTTTTGGGTGTGCCATTAATTTATTAATTCTGATTGACTTGCTGGTGAACCTTGAAATGAAATTTGAAAAACACCAATAAATATGCAGGCAGAGATATTTAATTTTTGCTCTTTCTGTCTGAAAAACAATTTACACAAATAATCTCTCTGCACAGAGTCCATTACCAGGTCTATTCAAATTTGCCTAAGATGGTCCTATATTTCCTGTTTCTTAATGAAATCCCATTGGTACTTGAGTCTAAGTGAAATATTTAATAGCGCTTCCTTTACTCTCAAAATTTCCAAGTAAAGATGATAAAGCACCCTGTTTATAACTGATCTGAAAAAGAGTTTTTTTCTCTCATTCCATTTAAAGCAGTTCCACTGAACCGCTATTGCATATTTCTTCCTGCCTCCTTCTTTACCCTTCACAGGAAAAATTAAAGACATGTTTTCAGGGGAAGAATTTGGTCCTCTGACTCGGCTTGTTTTGGTGAATGCTATTTATTTCAAGGGGGATTGGAAACAGAAATTCAGAAAAGAGGACACACAGCTGATGAAATTCACTGAGAGAGATGGAGCAGCAGTCAACATCCCGATGATGAAGGCTCTTCTGAGAACAAAATATGGTAATATGAGGAATCACATCCTCAAGCAGAACTTTGAGGATTACCAAGTATCGCTGACACTTTATTTTCTGTGTTCCAGGTTATTTTTCTGAATCCTACATGAATTACCAGGTTTTGGAATTACCTTATAAAGGTGATGAGTTTAGTTTAATCGTCATACTTCCTGCTGAAGATGTGAACATAGAAGAAATGGAAAAAGTAATTACTGCTTATCAAATCCTGAAATGGTTCTCTGAGATGCAAGAAGAAGAAGTAGAAATAAGCCTCCCTAGGTTGGCAATGTCATTTTATTATTCTGGTTCTTATGTTTTCACTTAGGGAGGAATTTGAATAGCCAGCTGCAAGATAAATGCTTGAAAAGACTATTGATGAAAATGGAAAGAAAAATGCTTTTGGCAGTGTAACTCCACTTTATGGCTGCAAAGGCAGGTCTGCACATTGCTAGCACTGCTTTGCCACGTGGAGGATGGAATTTAAGTGCTCAGTATTCTCTGAAAGAGATGAGGAAAAGTTGAACTAGAATGCTGGGATTAAAAGGAATTATTATTATTATTATACAAACTGATCCTCCAGTTTTTTCTTTCTGATTTAAATTTAAAATATTTATCTTCTACTCTGTTTTAGGAAGAAAAAAAAAAGACCCAAACACTTATGATATTGTCAATTAACCTTTGACAGAAGGTGCTCTACCAGTCATTGGATTATAAATAGAATCTGATGCTCAGTTTTAGACAGTTAATACGAAGTGAAAATTGCAAAAGCATATCTCAGGAAGTAATAATTTAAAATACAAATTTCTGGCTATCACGCTCTAGGAGGCCGGAGAAACTTCTGAGGGTAAAGTGTGCCAGATAACTCAATTCACAATCTACCTGAACTTGTAAAAAGAGACAGATGTCTAATAGATTATATTCTGTCTTTTCATTTCTAAATTTTTCTTCAAACTCATCAAGGCCTCCTGGTCTGTGAGCCCCTCCTAAACCTGTGGCTCTCCCTTCCTTTCCTCTCAGCTGGGATCCAGTCTGTCATTTCCATCACGCTCTCACCAAACAGTCATGTTGTTGTCATCTCAACTTTGTCCCTCTCGAACCCTCTTCCCAACCACCCTCAATTCTGAATCCCAAAAAGCCACACCTGCTTCCCAGCTACTGATTTTCTTAAGCAAAAACCCAGGAAGCAGTCATTTTTGGCCTCACCGAGGCTGGAGCTTGGAACCCTTTGTTCATTTTCTGAGAACCTACTCTCCTAATACACACACCACACCAAAACCTTGCCTCTATTCTCAAGGCACGGCTATCTGTTCATTCCGCTTAACTCTTAACATACGTCTCAACTTCGGGTTCCTTCAGGAAAATATGTCATCCAGCAAATGCTACTCTGTACCCTTCACCCCCAAATTTATGTAAGTCTTTGCTAATGTTTTGTTCCTCTACCTCTCCTGTTGCCCCAGAGAAAGTGGTAGCCTCTGCTTTCCTCAGCCTAACCCTGGGCTCTTGGTCCAAACATTACTGACCATCCCCTTTTCTTGAAAATCTTGTTCTTACCCCTGGGGCTTTTGTATTTATTTTTCTTATAGAAGTTTCCTGCTCCTTCACTTAGACTTTTGCTTTCTGTTCTCAAAAATGTTTACCAGCGTTTCACCTTCAGGGTTTTCCCCTTCCTACTCTTTTATTTGTCCTTTACTATTCATGTCTCTAAGATCTGAATCTCTTCCCCAACTTCTCTTCTAGCTCCCTACTAACTGTATATCTCTACCTGAATGTAATTCAGTCTTTCAAAGAGTATTTTTTTAGCTCCCACTGTATGCCAAACATTGGGGATATAATGGTGCATGTGACAAAAAGTTTACCTTCTAATAATGGGAATAATAGTTTTGAAATTAACTTGTTTATTTTCTAATTTCTCACTCCCTCTTTCTCTTTCTTTCTCTCTGTCCCCCCACATCCCTCTTTCTCTCTCTCTGCTTTGGAAAGATCACTATTTGAGGCCAAAAACCCCTGAGTTTGAAAACCATCTGTACCATGTACTAGCAGTGAGATCTTAAGAGAGTCACTCCACCATCCTGAGTTGTGGTTTTATTAATAAAATTTGGGGATAATGATATTTCAGTCACTGACCATTGAGAAGGACCCAGTTTCATCAGACTAGATAACAAATGCTTAAGTCCCAAACTCAACTGACAATAGGACATACAGGCTTTTAGCAGACTTTCCTTTTGGGCTGCTGCAGTCTGGACAACATTTCCAAACTGTTCAGCCTTATTATTAGCATCTGCAAACTGTGGCCTCCCTTCTCATATAATCTCTTCCATGGTGTGGATACAGACTTGCCTTTTACTTCCATCAAGAACAACTGTTACCGGTTGACTTCAACTCACATGTTGAAGTCTTAATCCCCTACCTCAGAATGTAACCTTATTTTTAGATAGAACTTTATAGAGGTAATCAAGTTAGAGTGAATTCAGTAGGGCAGGTCCTAGTCCAATATGGCTGGTGTCCTTATGAAGAGGGGAAATTTGGACAGAGATACATGCAGAAGGAAGACTGTGTGTAAAGACTTAAGGAGAAGATGACCATCTACAAGCTGAGCAGACAGGCCTGGAGCAGATCTTTCCCTCATAGCCTCAGAAGGAATCAATGTTACCCACACCTTGATTTAGGACTTTTAGCCTCTACAAGTGTGAGATAATAAAATTGTGTTATTTAATTTAAGCCACTAAATTGTGGTAATTTGTTAAGATAGCCCTTGACAAACTAACATAACCAAGAACAACTTCAATGGTTAACTAAATCTTACTGATAGCTTGGTCTTACAAGGTGGAAAGCAATTTAAAACCAGGTGCCAGGGATGAGTGTTCCAGGAGTGTAGGCCATTTCTTGTACCAGAGAGACTTCTCCAGTCTGTTGCTATCCTTAGCCTCCACTGCCGCAGTGCCAGGCCCACTCGCAACCTAAAGGGATGTCTTTCCCAACTCCTTCTTACCCAGCAAACAGAGTCCTTCAACTTTTCCCAGCGTCGAGGGTAGGTAACACAGATTTTCTCCCATCCCTCTCAGGCCACATTCCCACTTATGATAAGAATCTATAGTAGTAGATTTCAACTCTCAGTGAAAACGTTTTCATGTCATGTAGATTAGCCCCTCATCAGCTCATACTTCCCCCATCTCCATTCCACTGGTTCTATTTGAATAATGAAAAGGCTCATTGTGTTGCCTTTCCCAAACTCATGAACAATTTGCCTGAAAAGGTGAATTTGAATCTTCGGTTATATGGAAACAGAAACATCAGTTGTCAGTTGTACCCCTTTTTCCAAATGAATTTCCATCCACTGATTTTTCACAAAATTTAATGGTAGTTTCAATTACAGTACCTTATTACATACTTATATTCATAGCACAAATTCTGGGAAATAGAAGATGCTGAATAAGTGATGGCTATTTTTCTTTCTTTATTAAAACGACCCCTGCCCAGTCAGTACAAACTAGAGAGTCATCTCTGACTTCTCAGTCTCCTACCCTCCTGTCCCCTCTGTCTAGCAGCCCATTCTCTGTGCTGTCGATCCAGCCAATTCTCATTCATGTTCAGGTTACCTTAAAATGAACTCCTCTCCTCCATGTAGATTTCCCTAACATGCCCAGTTAGAATCAATCATTCCTTATCTTTATTTCTAGAACTCTTTATGCAAATCTATCATAACACTCGCCACACTGCATTTTTCATTTCTTGCTCATATTCTTGCCTCTCCTATTAAGATGTAAACTCTGGGATAGTGCATTATGTCTGCTACATTTTGGGTCCCATAGTCCATTACACACTACATAGTATACAGTATGTGCTAAATGAATGTTGTTGAGCTAAATTACATAAATATTTTCAAAGGAAAAGATTTTGTGTTATTTCCTTTTATCTAGTTTTAAATATCTCAAAAGTCAGAATTCAACTTTCCAGTAACTCTTTTATTCAATCCCTGTGAGATCCTGATGAATCTGTCCCTCTTTTTCATATGTGATGTATCGTGAAAGATAGGATATCAGTCATTTTCTTGGAAACTTGTCTCTAGAGAATTAGAATGATGTTTTAAAATTCACAAGACTAAAAAATCTGTCATCAGTTTTTCAATCACATTAATACAGCATTATCTTTAAACTGTTTTAACTTCTTCCTAGAAGGATGAGTCTTTTGATTTCTTAAAGGAGTGATTTGCTTATTTTTTAAGTTTATGAACAATTTTAGTCCATCAGGACATATTACTAAGTTTCCTGAGCACTAAAATTATAGACTGAAAGTTCTGAAATACATTTTCCCCCAAATGAACAATTTCCTCATAACAGAAAAATACCTGCTTAAAATCTATGTTCAGTATAGGAGAGGAAAAACTGTATAGGCTCAGTAAATACTTTTGAGTAGACTGCCAATTTTCTATCTTATTGGTTAATGCTGTGGTTCTTTTATATCTGAATGAATGCATTATGATTTAAAATTGATAGCTAAAGATTTTGGTGAAACAAGAATGGTTTAATCAACTGTATTAGAATCCTGGGGCTGTTGTAGCAAATTTCTGCAAACTAGTTGACTTAAAACTACAGAAATTCACTTCTTTACATCTCTGGGGGCTAGAAGTCCAAAATGACGGTGTCATCAGGTCATGTCCTCCCTGAGACTGTGTGGAATCATCCCCTGCCTCTGCCTGGTTCCTGGTCGTGGTCCATGATCTTTGGTGTAATCAGTATGACTGGTGTCCTTATAATAAATAATTCTGTGTGAAGAGAGATGGCCACATAACAACAGAGGCAAAAACTGGAGTGATTCATCTACAAGCAGAGGAACCTAATTAATATCTGCAATGACCTTATTTCCAAATAATGTTATATTGTAAGGTACTGGAGGTTAGGGCTTCAACATAGGAATTCTGAGGGATCATAGTCCAACCCATAACACCAACTATATTAAATTCTGTTATTGGAAAATAAACTAAGAACCTCTTTGAAAGCAAAATTTAGTAAACACCAGAGAAAAATTAATCATTAGAATGATTGTATATAAGCAACAGTAGGAAGGAGAATGTGACTATTTAGATTATAGTTACTGTTTAAGAAACACTTTTCCTTACCCTCTTTGATGTATTACTAGTTTTGAATGAAGGCAAACAAGATGTAGTCTAAAAATAGTAGGATCCTTTCTAGTGTTTGTTATCTGTAGATAGCTAATTTTGATCATTATCCTGCAGTTGGATAGCAGCTAAGACAATCATGTTACTTTGTCTAAATGTAATA